CATAAAAATATTCAAAAAGGCATTCCGATATTCAAATTTAAATTGAAATAAATTCAAATATAAAAGTCGATTCAGCCTTTCTTATTATGATTTATGATAATCTAGAACTAAAACATTTATTTTTTAAAGATGCAAATTTTTTAAGAAATATTAGTTGGAGTAGGAAGATGATGCGGAAAATAATATTAAGCATATAGGCATATATTTAAAAAATTATTTAATTTTTCTAAATGATTAATTATTTAAGCAAAAAGTTGAAAATTCGAAAATTTAAGAAATGTTTGCTGGGCACTTTCTTCGAAAAAACTATGTCAAATATCTCTTATTTTGCACTTTCTCCTAATTTTACATTCATTAAGCTGTTAATAAAAATTTTATTTTAATATGAAAACAAATATTTATGAGTTTTAAATGCTTTATAATTAAAGATTTTTAAAACTTAAAATGTTGAATATTTTATATAGTTATTACATATAATAAATATGTTTTAATTAACTTGCTTAATTTTATCAGATTTTTAGTCATGATTATTAATGAAACAAGTTAGTTTTGCATGATTAATGTATTTAGAATTTAATATATTAATATATATTAATAATTTATGCATTATATGCATACATATTATGCATGTTACAAGGAATATTTATCGTATAATTCACAAACTTGAATTTTTCATGATTTCTTGAAAAGTCGATTTTTTTCTTTAAAGAATTAATAAAAATCCAGATTTTATTTTCATTGATAATTTTACGAAGGTTAAGTATGATTTTTTACGGAATCTTTAAATTATTATAATGTTTAAATTATTATATTTTAAAAATTTAAAGAAATAATTTTATTTTACATATTTTATTTTATATATTTTCAAATAGACTTTATTTTAATAAGATCTTTATCGAAATATATAATTATTTGGAAAACACAAAAAGTTATAACATAAAATTTTTATTTTATTTTTAATATTTTTAATCAATCCACTCTTTTGGATAAAAAGTGAAATTATTATTAATATTATATTTTTAAAAATCTGCAAAACTACCCATGCATATTTAAATACTCAAACATGTCTTATATTTAAATCGATTCTTAACTTATAGATCCTTATGTCGATGTAATCCTTATACAATTTAATAAAATTATATCTGTATAACAGGTTTTTCATACAGATAATTCATGTATTTATAACAACTATTGTACTACTTCATGTTCCTTTTATCATTTCCGCTTGTCCTTGTATTCTACACATGACATTAACTTGATTGATTCCAAGTTGGTTATTTCTTCTAAGATATTTCTTCTTGTTGCATAATTAATGGATTAAATTTATTTATTTTGCATTTGTAGAATTATTTTCTACATTTAATTTTGTTGTTATTATTCTATAAATACAAAATAAATTTAATTATGCAACAATCTTAGAAGAAATAATCAAATTGGAATCAATCAGGTTGAGTTTGGAGTAAGGCATTAAATTATTCTAAAAGATATATTAATATAAATGAAGATCAGAAGAAAATTTGTTTAGTAGGACGAAAAGATTAAGCGAGCGGAATATGATCGGCAAATGGTTATGATTAGTATATCGATTTAAATATTAATCATTCAATAATCATTTGAATTTGTGCAAGTTTTTTGCGATTACTTAATTGCATAGTCATCAATATTTTATGTATCAAACAGTACGCCTCAGATTCGCATAAATCAAACTGCCTTTGATGAACGAGCCAAATGAATATCATTATCACGCATAAACATTTCATTATCTACAATAAAAACGTATAAGTACGTTTGTACTTGCATATCGTATGTATTTCCGGTATAATTACCGTGACCGATATTTTCGTACCTTAAAATAGATACCTAAAATCAGAAGTAAGCTACTAAATGATCTACTAAAATAACTAAACTACTAAAATCAGAAATAACTTGTTGACATTAAATAACTTTCGAATGTATTGCCAGAAGAATGTGAGAGGATGAAAGGACTTGTGCACACTTCGATGTTTGAACATAATTTGCATTTTAGATGTAAGGAATGAGTTTGTAAGTTTTTAAAATCAGGTGTATTCATATGTATATAATTATTTATTATGTGCTCGATACTTTTGATGTAGATTACATTCTGTTAATATTTAAAAAATCTTATCTTATTAATAAGTATAATTATAATAAGTATATTTTTTTAACAGTGCGAGAAAGAGATAAAATATTTTTAAAAAATATTTTTAATTTCTCAAAGATTTATGATCACTGAAAACTGATTAAATTAATTGATAGCAGATACTATATTTTTATTGATTTTTATATAATAAATATTTATATAAATAAATTTTTAATAAATTTTTATAAACCGTTTTTATAGCTCAATTTTTATAGACATATACCTATTATAGACATACATATACATATTATAGACATATCTTTTTATTAGTTTTCACAATTTAGTTAATATTTTCAGTGTTCCATTCATTTTTTAGTTCGTCCTTTTAGCTTTACATAGGTTTACATAAATATATAATCATTAATTTAATGTGGTCAATTTTTGCATCTACGAATGGATTAAATAATGCAAATTATTTTCACTGAAAATCATTATTTTTGTGCTTTAAGTTTAATTATTAACTATACAATAATGAGCATAAAAAATCTAAAAATTGAAAAATAATGAATAAACGACAAAGTAACGTGATGAAAATGTTTATCATATAGCAATCTCATAAAATAACCTCTAATAAAATAAAAATATTTAAAAAAAACAAAAACGATCAAAGTTTTTGTGTTTTCATAAATGAGAAATTCACTGAACTACTGACTATATACTACAAAGTCTAATCGAAATGTTTTGAATGCTAGAAAACGTGACACTATATCCCACAAACGTAAAGATTTCCACGTTGAGTTTCTAGTTCTATTAATATGATAACATTATTCTTTGATGTAAAAATTAATACAGCTTCAATAATTACCCAGGAAAAAGTCTACAAATTTTTGCAAAGTAAAAATTCGATGTTTGATAAGATAAAAGGAAATTCTACTTAATATCTTTTGATATCGTTTGATATGAAACTTGAGAATTTATCGTTACCTTGAACCTCGGATTGACTTCTTGACTACTATGACGCTAGAGACGAGAAAGCGTAAAGTTAATGCGCGAATAATTTACATTAAGGCAAATGACTTTTTGTCAATTGCACCGCCTTCGTTCGATAATGTTGGTTTGTAAAATATGCATGACGGACGCTATCAATGTGATATATCATCTTGACATACGCGCAAGGAATATAGTATATTGTCACAACTATCAATAAATAGCTTGCGTCTAGCTATAGAAATTACATATAACATGCAAAACCAAAATATATTTCTAAATATATACTATTAATATTCGTGTAAAAATACAATTTTATCACATCTCTTAAAGATTCCAATAGGAACTTTATCTTGAGAAAAGTTCTTTGTGAAAGCTACAAAAAAAATATATATAATATATTGCTTTATTTCGTGATTTTAGGATCTGTTCAAATATATAAATATAAGATATCGAATTTTCTTTTAA